TAGTATTTATAAATTTTACTTTTCTTACTTTTAGATATGAAAATATAATATCAAAATTTTATATTTAATATTGGTGCGTCAGATAAATCTCAACGAGTGGTTTTGAATAGCATATTATTTGTCAAGGACAAACTTATGTACGAAAAATCATTTCAAAATAGATAATGTAGTAGAATAATTAAAAGAAAAAAAACTAATGTCTTAATCAGCTCCCTATTAAATATTAATGTTTGTACGGTGTATAAGGAAATTGATGCATGATTACCTTTATGCCCCTAAGAGTAGAAAATGGGGCAATTAGTTCGTACCAATTTAATACCTACCTATTTTAAAGTTTGACTATTCATCAATGATTAATTCAATCACAGCCGTTCAATGCACTTAATCTAAAGGATAACATCCATTCTTATTTCTTTCACTAAGATTCATTCTCACATGAACCAACCCCTATATATATATATATATATATATATATATATATATATATATATATATATATATATATATATATATATATATATATATATATATATATATATATATATATATATATATATATATATATATAATTTGAACTAACATTAGACAATGTTAGAGATATTGTCTCGGTTGAGTTCCAGCATATAAGATCCTACTTTGAATCAAATAGTGGGCCATTTTAAAGATTTTGGCTATATTGTTCAACCTTGTAATTGTTACACTGTTCTTCATTTCTCAAATATTAAAATAAAAGAATAGAATAGAATTAAAAATAATTTGAGTCAAATATTCTGCTATCATACTAAGGTGATCTCTCACACAATATAATGAACATTTAATGTCTGGAAATTTGTGAATATACAATTTTTTTGGGGGGTCTATAAGCAAATTATGAGTTTTTAATCGGGGTTTCCTTATACAATACGAGAATCAAGTTGACCATGGTCATGAATCTGAACCTCACTCGCAACAATTTTTTCAAAATAGTACGGAGTAATAAAGTAAGTTGCATGAATATATTTATTATTCACATGGTCAAATTTCATTTATTTTCTTTTCTTATTTTCGTTACTTATTTGATAAAATAATACGGAGTAATAGAGAAATTTACCTAAATAGGACTAAAATATAATGAATTTCCCAATATAGGATCATATATTTTTATTTTCCAATGTAGGATCTTTGGTCATTATTAATTAGTCATTATTCAAGTAAATGTCCATCGTCATTACTGAACATTATTCCTCCCACTAGACATTATTAATTCCTATTTAGGGAATAATAAAGTTTAAGTCCTACATTGGGAAATGACTTATGTTTTAGTCTTATTTAGTGCAAATTTTACATAATATAATCGTGTCACCTCTTGTTTTGTAGATCTTTTTATGTATGTTTTAAGTTTGTAAATTTTCTTTTTAATTTACTTGTACTCCATTTCTCGAATAAACCGTATTGAAAATAGTTTTAGTCAAACATTATAAAAATGAAACAAACAATTTAAATTGTAAGGAACGTAGTATAAAGTTTCACAAAGGCTTATAGCAACCAAGTCTACATGTGAGGCCGTAGAAGTTTTAGAATATGAAATATTTTATGAGCTTACAACTTAAGTTTTTGATAGATTTGGTTCATTGACAATCTTCGATCATCAATTAAGGATTATATATATATTTGATATTACAATATTCCCATGCCATGCATAACTAACCCTAGCTAGCTAGCTTCATTGCTAGATTTGGAATCATAGAATTCCATCAAGATGAAAACAAAGACATGCATCAACACATACAATTATTATATAATCCATTATTCCACATCACCATCTCCATCCTTGTTCTCATTCCAATCCTTGATTACCCTTGAAATTGCTTCTATCACCATTTCTGTATTCATCCTCCCATCTTCATCACCGTCTTCGTTCTGATAATATATACATGTCTCGTTAATTATATTAAAATTATATATACATTACTTAGGGGCTGTTTGGCAACTTCTGAATGGGTAAGTACTGAATCAGAAAGAGGTCTGAACCATTAAGTGCTGAACCAGTAAGAGGTCTGAATCATTAAGAGCTAGTATATTGCTTAACTATTCAGAGGCAAATGTCTGATCAATTCAGATAAGAGATATTAACCATTCAGACTCTGTATAATACTTAACCATTCAGAGGCAAATCTCTTAACCATTCAGACTTCTGAACCATTAAGAGGCTGAAACAAACCGTCTGAACCATTAAGTGCTGAATCATTCAGACATCTGAATCATTAAGAGGCTGAAACAAACAGCCCCTTAGACTCATGCTTAGATACTTTTTACTTAGTAAATACTCCGTTTACGTAAAAAAGTGATCAACATATAGTGTAACTGTGTAAGGTACTCCCTCCGTCCCATAAACCTTTTCTCCTATCTTGTTTTTTTTGTTCACAAAATTCTTCCATTTTCTATTAAAAAACTTTTTTTTACCCTTACTAATTCTTGCCCGCATAATATCTTTTTACTAATAATCTACCTATCACATATTACTTTTAACCATCATATCAAGGGTAGTTTTGGAAAGTCAACTCAAAAATATCTTCTTAATTTTTCTAAAAGTTAAAATGGGATTACATATTTACCTCTCCACCTCCCAAAGCCTGTAGATGAAAATGGTCGGTAGAAGAAACCCTAGCCTCGAGGACATTAAGGCCCAGCTCTTCAAAAGCTTCAAGTAAGGCAACAAGTAACCCAGGGCAACTTCTTTCTGAGTACACCTTCACCAAGAATCCCTTTTCTAGCTACACTTTGGTGATATTTTAACATTCTTTAATTTATAATAAGTGAACTATAAAAAACACATATTCTTTCCGTTCTCTTTTAATTTTTTTATTGTGTATTTTGGTCACGACTCATGAGTTAAAGATTCATGAGTTATGATACTACGAATATTAAATTCTTTTAACATTTTTAGTTTATTGTAAAAAAAGTCCCGTCTTAATATTTCTGAATATCTGAACAGCTGAACTCCCTAATAAAAATGTTTAGGTCATATCCTCCAAAATTGGGGGACCAATCCAAGGCATTTTTTATATCTCCCTCCACCTAATGGTGTGCAATTGTGCACCATTCTTTCCAAGCTCAAACCGGACCAAAATCCATCAAAATCTACGTGTCCGAGCCAGTGGACCGGAACCTCATGGTTTACACACAAAAACTGTAAGTTTTTAAAATTTATCTAAGTTTATCTATTGCAAAAAAAGTGAAATACTCCCTCCGTCCCGCTACATTCGTCCACTTTTGACTTTTAGAACTGTTCATCAAAGCACTTTGACTCATCAGATTCTCTCAATGTGTAAGCCTAAATATAGTCATGCGTGATCTTGTTTGATTTGTCTTAACATATAGATTATTAATATACGGACTATAATTTCTATAATTTTTTAATATACAAATTACAAGATAAAATGCATTAAAGAAGTATATTGGATGGTGTGCAAAAATGAAAGTGGACAAATATAGTCGGACGGAGGAAGTAAATTTACTTAATTTTCACTAGGCAGTATTTCGTGTATCGAAACATTCTCCTATGTTAAAATTCGCCAAATCTTAAGTGTGGGTTTGACAAATGACCGAGATGGGCTCCACGGCCCGATTGAGTTATTGGGCCAGAGCTCCCGATAAGTCTAATGGGCTACAAATTTGATCCTGCAAAGGGATTGAAGGTCATAATTTGGGCCTTAACATCCGCCAGACAGCCCAGCAATCTACCCTGGCCTCATTTAATTAAAGAAGTCCGAAC